TACTCTTTTATGTAGGATTTACGAATGGGCACCGATCATTACAATCATTTTACTTGGAGACAAAAGAAGGTGGTCATGGAGATCACTGCACGCCACACTCTGCTCCATAATTCCTTTGCCATATCTTTCTTTATCGATCCCCCGTCGACCTTTTGTGTGAAGAAAGTTGAAAGGAAAAATCATTCTCATTCATTAAGGATCAATCCACTCTGTTTTGCTAGGGCCAGAAAAGACTCCCGCAATGATTCTATCCCAACCCATCCCGGATGAGGAAAATGCGAGATCAAAACTGACAAGAAAACAAACCCAACTGGCAATGCAACCACCGAGTTGTTTCAGCAGGACCCTGGGACTTTAACCAAACGGGAAAAAACAGCGTCCTTCGTTTCGAGCTCTGCTATGACTACCACCACCACTACTACTCCGTCGAATCAACAAGGCTCGAACGCTAGATAGAAGCTGCCGATCCGCCGCCGAATCCCACGAGAAGGACCTTCTGATTGGCTGAACTGCAAACTGATCACCTTCACCCTCTTTCCCCATCCTCACATAATCGATCCCTTCATCACCCATCACGGACAAGTGGCGGCCGCCGCGCTTGCTCTGCTTCCGCTTCCCAATCACCTCAGGAGACTGGCTCCCGAAACGACGACGAGGAGCAGCAGGCGAATGAGCTTCCGAAACGACGGAACGGCCTTCCACATCTCCGCCCAACTCAATCACCACAAAATCCTCGTCGCTTCCTAAGACGCTCTCGGCTTGTTGCTGCGAGCCTCGAGGGGAGGAGCTCGGAGCAACCACTTGGAGACGACGAGGATTATGCCCCGAAGCGAGTTGCGCCGAGGAAATGCTTGTCCGGCAGAGCGGGCAAATGGCATTGCTCTGCATCCAAAGGTCGATGCAGGGCAAGTGGAAGGCGTGGGCACAATTGGGGAGGACTCTGAGGATGTCCTCTTCCTTGAACTCGTTCAGGCACACCACGCAGCCGTAGATGCCGCCGCCGCATTCTAGTACTCCTCCTGTTCTGTACTCGCGAGTTGGGAGAGCTTGAATGGTAAGTTCGTCGAGGCCGCCGCCGCCGCCGCCGCGAGGCCAATTGCCAGGGGACAGGGCGATGAAGGAGTCGTCAACAGCGGGTTGTCCGGTGGCGGCTGTTGCGCTGGAGGAAGGGAGACACCAGGTCGATGTTGGGAGATTGAAGGGAAGCGAGGAACAGCGGCATTTGTTGACCAAGACGTAGTATGCGAGAAGCAATGCAGCTGCGGCTCCGATGATGCATAGGACGGCGATTGTTAGGAGAGGGGAGGCATTGTCTGATGATGTATGGAAAGAGCGGGGTTGTATTTGTTGTTGTTGATAATAGATGATGGGATTTCGTTGCTGCATTGAACATTTGATGTGGAGGGCTGTGTTTTGTTCCTCTGGAATGGGATTGAGAGAGGATGGGAGGAGATTGACAGGGAGAAATGAGAGGGGTTTTATGTTTGGGGTTTGGACACTTGAGGGAGTATAAGGACATCCAATGATAAATGCAGGGAGGTGAACATTTTCACTCTCCTAGGCTAGGAATTAGAGAGGCGTGATTGTACAAACGTTGGGGTATGTTTATGATGACTTACAAGTAATTTGGAGCAAAAGCGATATTGACTTTTATATTATAGTTTTACGTGGAGATAGTGATAGTTAAGAGGATGGAAAAGTGTAGGAAGGTGAAGTGTTCGGACGTGAGTCATGATATCTCAAACACCAATTTCAAGTATGCGCTCCTGTCTCAACGAAAAACGAGTTGTCACACATGTGAGATATTAGCAAAAGTCGAGGCCTCTCGATTTGCGTAGAGATACACTATCTCCAAGTCTCGTGAGAAAAGAGGTGTTTGGGAGATGGAAGGTAGAAGATGATTGGCATATGATGGAAAGCTATCTAAATCACCAAACACATTTTTAAAGGGCACTCTGGTGTAAATAACACATTTTTAGGTTCTCATCGATTATGTGGAGTTTCAATTCCCGAACATATGGTGTGAATAACAATGGTAATGGCTCGTAAACTTGGTGAGATTTGATGCTCCATCTACAAGACCTCTTCGTCTTTCCTTATTCTCACTTCTCTTTGCCCATACCATTTAGGATATCATGGATTGAACACCATGGAATCCACAAAGACGGATCGATGAGGGTTTGCCTTGGCTTGGGGAAGAGAAATAAAAAACGGTCCTTTCTAGAAGTTCATCAAGGTCGGGTGGAAGGCTATGGTAACACGTGTCATTTGTGGTAGATATATCCACCCCAACCTCGTTCTCATCTTAGGAACCATTTGCATCCTCAACCTCCCTTCCTTCTTCCAAGATTTGTTCGTCCCCTTGGGATGAATCAAGTTCTACATCTTCTTTGATGCTCACTGAATCGTTCCAACTACAACATCCCAATCGCTGGCCAAGTATAACCCGCGACTGGGTGCAGCATAGGGCAAGCAAGCAATAAGAATATATCATACCACGGGTATCTAGGCTTACCCTACTTCAAGTTTAGGGTTCGTTATCTAGCCAACATAGAGTAGTGATTAGGAAAACTAAATTAACTAACCTAGACTAACCACTAACCTAGCTATTTACAAGGTTTGGGGCTCCCTTGGGTTAAATGCCCCTATTTACGACCTTTGGATCGATGTTGAGTATCCTCCTAGTTCGATCGACCCACTGTCCTACCGTTAGGAGATGAACTCACTTGGGACGGACCCAGAATGGTGAACTGATGGATGGATAAGAGTCGTAATCAACCTAAGACACCCTATATTGTAGGAGATCGATCCAATCGACTCCCTCGGGGATTGCCCAGATGATATGGGGTGAGGAGTTGTTTCCCTCCTAGGTCAAAAGCTTGATTGACTCAATTACTCTACCGTTAGGAGATAGACTCCCTCGGGAATGACCCGGAACGGCGAATGATGAATGTGATAGGCTCTATTCAACCTAGGGCAACCCTATATCATAGGAGATTGATGGAATCGACTCCCTCGAGGATTACCTAGATGATATAGGGTGAGGAGGGACCCAAAGACGCCAATAATGGGCTCTAAGGGGATTTTCTCCCTCCTAAGTCAAAAGCTCAATACATGAAAATGGAAACCCAACTCATGCCATTCATTAAAACATCCATCAATTAAGTAAAATCATCAATCAAACATTAAATGTGTCACATACATTAACATTAAACCCAAATCTAGACCTAGGGTTCTTAAACCAAGAGAAGATGGTGAGTTTCCAGAGAGAGAAGAGAGAAATTACAAATTGGAGCCCAAGATCTTCTTCTTCTAGGCTTGAATCCTTGTCTTCAAGATCAACCCAAGCCTCCAATAAAGCTGCAAGATCACTCAAGCACTCTCACTCTCTCTCTCTAGAACTCCCCTTTGGTGCTTTGGATGGAAACCCGAGAGAAAGAAACTATTTCCTCTCCCAAAAACTAGCTCCCCTTTTTCATCCTTCTGCTGATGCCTTTTATACCCAGATCGAGGGTTGTTCACGGTCTGAGTTCACGGACGTGAACTCAAAATCTGGACCGTGAACTCGAACAAATTCACACCGTTTCACTACAGCACTTCACGATCTGGAGCTGAAGTTCACGGTCTTACGACTGTGAACTGAATTGGCATCAGTAAACTCTGAAACTCCTCTAGACGCCCTTCAGTTCACGGTTTGTGGTTCTAGTTCACGGTCCTGACAACCATGAACTCACTACTTGGACTGTGAACTGCGACTGCTTTCCTGGGCGCCCGCGCTTCACGGTCACGGGACATTTTTTCACTTTTTGGCGTTTTTGACCTCTAATCGGCCCGAAACTCATCCTCGACCTTCCCACACTTGCTAGGACCCGAAATAAAACAAAACAAGCACAACCTAGAGTAAAAAAGGTCGAGGGACGATGATCTACTAAACAAAACGAACAAGAAATGACGGGTAAAATGTGTACATTTGGACCCGAATCACTCCCCACACTTGAACGTTTGCTTGTCCCCACAATTGATTCATTTTTACTAGTCAATACCATATGGTATGCTCCTATTTAATACCATATGGTAAGAAAACGTACCATGATGGTATGAACATAGCAATATTGTAGGAAGGTTGAATACATGATAGTAGGAGTATACTAACTGACAATTACGACTTTCATCATTGTTTACCACAAGTTACCACCCACATACCATAGTGATAAAAGTATGGTAATTTTTTATCCTGTATTTTTTTCACCCAGAAATGTATAGATCTAATAGATCATGATGAACTCGTTCCTTCTGAGCAAATGTTTTCAAAAACGACTTAAAAACAAAGAAATTACCATATGGTATGTAGTTGGTAACGGGAGGTATGAAAAAAGTTTCTCGAAATATATTGAAAATTGATCTCATTTTGTAAAGCACAACGAACTTGTTCCATCTATGCAAATTTTTTTTTTTTAAATCTGAGTTAAAATGAAGAAGATAAGAGCCGATTAAGAAAACTAGAGAATATAAAATGCCTTTAATTCACAACCCTTATATCTGAATTTTTTGGAATTCAATAAATCTAATAGTCCAAATTTAGTTACTTAGCGTTTACGGCCTTTAGTTTTGTTAACGAAAATATTTGTATTGTACTCTAACTCGATAACCTCTTCCCATTTTATAGTTCTGTCCCACAGTTGTGATGAGCAAATTTTTTTAATATGTAATAAAATGTAGCTGTGACCGGTTAACACAAATAACGGACGACTTTTGTTGACAAATTCAAAGGTGATGTAGAGATGAAGAATTGTGAATTGAATTCAGACAGCAACATACCATCCGCCCTTTCCTCCTCTTTGGCTCTATTCTCTGGCCAGCAGTAGTAAAGGCGGATTCCAAATAATTGGAAAATCATTATAATTGAAGTGATCCATCACACATTCCAACCATATATAATACATAAGGTAAAGGCAGGCAGGAGTCTAGCTAGCTACGGATTCTGCTCCGATACAACCAAGTGTTTTTGCAGGATTAATATTGTTACTGATACTATGGCGGCGAAACTTGTTTCGAGCTGGTACAAAGAAGTGGAGTGTTTGCCCGAAAGCTACATATTACCGCCGGAGGAGCGGCCCGGCGACCGCCCAGTCCCCGTCAGCAACCAAATCCCCGTGGTGGATCTGGAGGCACCGGACTCCGCTCAGCTCATCGTCGACGCCTGCCAGGAGTTCGGTTTCTTTCAGGTAAATTATTATTGAGCATACAGACAGTTCAATGAAGAGTCGCAATTAATTAACATCCTTTCCTAGTGGAATTGATTGTTAATTAATTGGGGGAAATGAATTAGGTGACGAATCATGGAGTTGGGGAGGAGTTGATGGAGGATGGGATGAAGGTGTTCGAGGAGTTCTTCGGGATGTCCAAGGAAGAAGAGGGAGTGGTTTGTAATTTGTACTCCGACACCCCAACCACGGAGCCGTGCGTGGTTAGCACCAGCAGTGGGAACAATGTGAACAGTGAGAAGGTTCATTTCTGGCGTGACGTTCTCAGGCACAGTTGCCATCCTCTCCATCAATACCTTCCCTTTTGGCCTCACAAGCCCCACAGATACAGGTTATCTCCCTCTCTCCCTCTCTGTTTGTTTCATGGATCGGTTGAGGTTGCTAGGAAATGTTTCCCAAAATTATTTTAGAGAAAAATCTGGGCGTATTAGTTTTTTATTTGGGTTATTTTATTGCAACCACTTGCCTTGCTGCATCACTCATGGCCCTCTATATGACAGCAATGTTATCAATAAATAAGATGTGGTTGCTTTAGTTGGTGGTGGTAGATAGAGGTGGCAATTGGATAGGATTCGTGGATTCATGGATTGGATTGGTGGATCCATGGATCCAATGGATTGGATCAAATGGATTGATGGATTGATCCATGAATCCAAATGACATCCAAAGTTTGGACAAAAAATGTAAAATGTGAAAAGTTTTGGTACTAAAATTGCATAATGAAAATTTAGGTACCAAAATGTAATTTTTCAATGATATTTTTTGTAAAAAAATATAAATTTTAGGTACCAAAATGTAAAATATAAAAATATAGGTACCAAATTGTAATTTGCCATTTGGATCCATGAATCCACCAATTCAATTGGATTTGGATCAAATGGATTGAATTATGCGGATAATTTGGTGGATCGATTGGATTGGATTGGATTCATGGATTTGGATCCTAATTGCCACCTCTAGTGGTAGATATCACAAACGTCATATTTCTGTGACTCGTGAAAATGAATGTAAAAGTAAAATCATCTTTGACATTTAAGTCAATAAATTGATGTAACTCTGCAAAATTCAACTATTAGATTTACAACCATTAATGTTGAGAATGGAATTTACTAGCTATATGGCCGATCAAGGAATTTTAGAGGTCTAGTTCTATAAATGAATGTGCCCAACTTTTGTAAAAAATATATATATATATATATATATATATATATATATATATATATATATATATATATATATATATATATATATATATGGTGGCTACTTCGGCGCACTCACTCTAAAAATGTTCATATTACATCAAATTTTGAACTTTAATTAGTACTCTCAATCTAATATGATGATATGACATATAATCATAACAAATCAATCTATTACCCTAACCCCTTAACCTTCAATTTTGAATCCCAATCCAAAATCCCAAATTTTAAACCTAATCCCTAACCCTAAATCCCTAAATCCTAAATCCTTCAAATTAAAGTAAATTTTGAATGAATTTTTTTCAAATTCATGTGCTTCTTGTTCATAATATCATAAGCAACAATTGATACCGTTTTGACATGAATCACATGCTCAGAATGACAATTATGAGGCGGGTGCACTGAGAGCACCCAAAAAAGTGGGTGCACTGAATATGCCACTATATATATATATATATATATGGTGGCTACTTCGGCGCACTCACTTTTTTGGGTGCACTCAGTGCACCCACTCTAAAAGTGTCCATATTACATCAAATTTTGAACTTTAATTAGTACTCTCAATCTAATATGATGATATGACATAGAATCATAACAAATCAATCTATTACCCTAACCCCTTAACCTTCAATTTTGAATCCCAATCCAAAATCCCAAATTTTAAACCTAATCCCTAACCCTAAATCCCTAAATCCTAAATCCTTCAAATTAAAGTAAATTTTGAATGATTTTTTTTCAAATTCATGTGATTCTTGTTCATGATATCATAAGCAACAATTGATACCGTTTTGACATGAATCACATGCTCAGAATGACAATTATGAGGTGAGTGCACTGAGTGCACCCAAAAAAGTGGGTGCACTGAATACGCCACCATATATATATATATATATATATATATATATATATAATAAAAAATATTTAGGTTAAATACACTTGTATATCCAAAACTTTCACGGTTGTGTCAATAATATCCAAATTTCCCGAAATACCACTTTTATCCAATTCCTTCACATTTTTTAACGGTGTTTTTGGATATACAAGTGTATTTAACCAAAAATATATTGGAAAATTGATAGATTTGGCAAAGAACAACTTTAAAACATGGAAATAAGTGGTATTCCGGAAAATTTGGATATTATTGGCACAACCGTGAAAGTTTTGGATATACAATTGTATTAAACCAAATATTTATTTTACAATTAAGAATAAATAAAACAATAGTTAGTAGCCACAAATAATTACAATTAGAAAGTATGTTTTTTCTCCCTCATGCTTTACAATGAGTTTGAGCTCAAAATTAATTAATCATCCATTGGACTGGCTTATATAATCTCAATTAACAATATTTTTTGTTTTTCAACATTAAGCCCATATTTTAACCCGATAGTCCATACGATACTTAGAATTAGAAAGGTCATTCCTTTTCCCATGGCCCATGATTTAATGAGTCTGGGCTCAAAATTATTATCTAGCAGGTTGACCCCATATAACATCAACTAACAATGATTTTTCCTATTTTTGACACTAGACTCACATTTTGTCCATAATTCATATCACTAATTCATCATAATCCTATTTTTTAGTAAATAAAGATTTAGTTCAGTGGTAATACTATCGATGTTGAACCTAGAGCTCATAAATTTGAATCATTTAACTACACCTTACTAAAAAAACTTATATCACCCTTATAAAAGAAAGGGTTATAGGTATAATATGCCCCTCTACTATGTTGTTTTATCAAACATGCCCCTCTACTAATTTTTACATCAAACATGCCCTTGTACTTTGGAAAAATGATCAAACGTGCCCTTCTGTTAAAATTTGCATCCTAGAATCATCAATCACGATCGAACCTTGGTTTGGGAGACACAATTGTCTACAATATCCCTTATAATTTCAATTTAGAATTTATTTGGCTCTTTTGTACAACCAAATACCTCTAATAATTTCACTTTAACAAGTCCTAGAGAAATAAATCAAGAGACAAAACTGACATTTTCCCTCCCATTTGCCGGTGTCGGGTCATTTAAATCTCGGTTCAACCAAGATTGACGATTTTTTTCAATGGAAGTTTTAATAGAAGGGCATGTTTGATTATTTTCCAAAATACAGGGGCATCTTTGATATAAAAAACAGTAGAGGAGCATGTTTGATAAAACTGCATAATAGAGAGGCGTATTAAAAAACGAAAGCAGAGGCACCGACTATTCCAACAGGCCCATGGCTTGCCTTGACTAGCAACCATTTCTTACCCCTAGTTTCTCATTCTAGCGATATGCTGGTTGTAATTAATATGCGTAAATCTAATATTCCATTGTTATACCGTTACAGAGAGGTAGTGGGAGAGTGCTCGGTGGAGGTGAGGAAGTTGGGTTTCAGGATTTTGGAGAAAATCAGCCGAGGCCTTGGCCTGAGCAGCGGCTACCTGGAAGAGTTCAGCAAGTTCATGTACCTGCAAGTCAATCATTACCCGCCCTGCCCCGATCCCACCCTCAGCCTGGGAGTGTACAAGCACGTCGACCCAACCATCTTAACCATTCTGCGCCAGGACTCCTACGGCCTCCAGGTCTTCAAGGACGGCCACTGGATCGGAGTCCAGCCCATCCCAAACGCATTTGTCGTCAACGTCGGCCACCAGCTGCAGGTCTGCCTGCCTGTCGGTCTGTCTGTCTGATCTTTCTTTGTTGTTACAACTTACAACACCAATTCCCTCCTAACTTAATATATATGCAGATTATCAGTAACGGGAAGCTGAAAAGTGCCGAGCACAGGGCTGTGACGAATTCCGTCAAGGCTCGAACATCGGGGGCTTTCTTTCTGCATCCCGACGTCGACACCATCATCGAACCAGCGAAAGCTCTGGTCAATGCGGCGAACCCTGCTCTCTACAGGTCCTTCCCATCCTACGAGTTCGTTAAGCGGTATAGCGCGAACCGCGGAGACGTTGAGGAAACCATCAAGGCTTTTCAGCTCTGATAAAGCTGCTTTCACCTCATCTATGTCGTGTTTTAACTTTTAAGACAGTATTCTGGGTAAGGTATTTATCATGACCATACTGGGTTTTTGTTTTTGTTTTTTTCGCTTTTTTGCCATATCACAATGGTACGGGGTTTAAAATTGTGGATTTTGTCTATTTGTGTGATTTCCAAAACAAAATATCGTGCTTAAAATGTATTTTCTTTGCTATCAAGTTAAAGATGGCATTAAGGAACCTATAGCAAGAGTTGTGATGAAGGATTCTTGTAAGGAGAATTGAATGGGATAGAGAAAAGAACTCAGATAAGACGGGGAGAATCGGATTGGTTGAACAACAAAGATATAATAATACACACAATAATAAAGAACGATAATCTATATGCAATCAGATTTTCAATGAAAGAGCATGTTTTGTCACTAGTTGCAGCTCTATTAAAGCTCCAAAAAGTCAAAAGACACTAAACTTACTCAGATATAGTGAAAAAGAAGAGTACTCACTTACGATTACTTCTGTCTGGGAATGATAAAATCTCGTGATGCATCCAAATGCTAAAGCAACGAAAAAAATCCTTGCAAAACAAGACAAACGAAACCTGTTTCAAACCTCTCTCAATCTTAAAAAAATTTGTAGATTCCATGTTAACCAGGTCCGACAATCTCATCGAGGAGACTATCCCTTTCACCCACCTCTGAACTAGCTCAAGATAGGGTGAGTAACAATGAGTAACCAAATCTGGACCCTTCTTTTAAGTGATTGCATATCTAAGGGTGGAGAATTAAAAGAATTTATTTTCCCTAGTTTTCTTAATTGGATCATAACTTCTTCACTCTAACTCGGATTTCATTTTTTTTTGCACAGATGGAACGAGTTCGTTGTGCTCTACAAAATTATATCCATTTTCAATATTTTTTTAGAAAAAAATTTCATCCCTCTCGTTACCAACTCCATACCATATGGTATCTCCTTCGTTGTTTAGTCATTTTCGGAAATTTTTGCACAAAAGGAACGATTTAATCATGATCTATTGGATTTCAAAATTTTCTGGGAGAAAAAATTTCAAACCTTTCGTTACCAACTCCATACCATACTATATCACCCTGGTATGAGGTGGTATTTTTCATAGCATCTGGTATGCTATTATTTAATACTATATGGTGTTGACTGGTATTAAATAGGGTTAATACCTTAGTTTGGCCCGAACTATACACAAACTTTCTACTTTGGCCCGTGGTTTCCGAAATTGCTATCCTGGCCTGAACTATGTATTATACTTGCTAACTTGGCCCGGAGTCGAATTTGACCGTCAAATTGGACGGTCAACAGAGTTGACCGTTAGTCAATGGCCAGCTCACTTGCCACGTCAGTGAACACTGAATAAAAAATTTATTTTTAAATTTCTGTATTTTTTTTAGATTAATTTTCTTTTATAATAATAATAAATAAAAAACTTAATAAAACCCCAATTTATTCTCATCCCTCTCACCTGAATTGGGGAAAACCTTTAACCTATTCAATAAAATTGGGGAAAACTATTAACCAAACCCACTTCTTCCCCCTGCATCCAAAAACCCAAATTCATCTCCTCCTCCGCCATCGACAACTCAAACACCATATACTTATATACATCACCACACAGACCAGATTCCCAACTCAATCCCATTATTGATCAACATCAAAGCACAAGCTCTTAACGATGGGATTAGTCAAATTTCAATTAAACAGAGAAGAGGCGGGGAAGGGTTGTCGGCTGCGGAGGCGAAGGGGAAGGAGGATGGAATAGGGTTTCAGGAGAAGAGGGGGTTTGAAAAAAAAATTCCCAGGTGGAGGGGCGGTGATAAATAGGTTTTTTAAATTTTTTTGTTTATTATTATTAAAAAAGCTATGAATATAGATATTCAAAAAATAAATTTTTTTATTCCATTCTCGCTGACGTGGCAAATGAGTTGTCCATTGACTAACGGTCAACGGAGTTGACCGTCCAATTTGACGGTCAAACCCGGCTCTGGGCCAAGTTAGAAGTATGATACATAGTTCAGGCCAGGATAGCAATTTCGAAAATCACGGGCCAAAGTAGAAAGTTTGTGTATAGTTCGGGCCAAACTAAGGTATTAACCCTATTAAATAACAGCATATGGTATTGACTGGTATTTTTCATACCATATGGTATGCTGTTATTTAATACCAGTCAATATAATATGGTATAGTCAATACCATATGGTATAGACTGGTAATAACTGAAAAATTTTTTTCTTCCAAAAAATATCAAAGTGGATATCATTTTAAAGAGCACAATTAATCTGATCTAACTGTGCAAAAAAATTAAATTCCAAGTTAAAACGAGTGGGAAATCGTCCGTTAAAGATTAAGAGAAAGAAAATTAATGATTTTTCCAGGAGACAGAAGGAGGCGCTGATGTAACATATTCTTATTGGGTTATGCATGAGGTTACTCACCACAAGGTTATTTACCGGATCTGCTCCCCTCTGAACTGTACCAACTTGAGGATTATTTTTTAACGATGTAATTGTTGTTTCCTTTTGGATATTTATGAAGGAAAAAAGATTCAATTTATCTATTAATTAGTCTTATTTTATTACTTCTAGTATTACGATTACAATAATGGGCCGTGTCATTTTCTTCTTGATTTACAAGTAATGGGCTTCAATTTATAGTTAATATATATAAAGCTGAAGTTAAGTTATTATTATCTAACAATTTACATTTTGATATCCCAAATGTAATCAAATCATAATTTAGTCACTATAATGTAAATTTTATATTTCACTACAAGAAAAATGACAATTAGCGACTAAGTCTATTTGCTACGATAGGTGATTTATGTGCCTCTATAGCTCTATAGAAGCACATAATTGTGTGTTGTCAATACTGTTGCGGGTGAATTGCAAGTTTGGTCACTCATATTACCCATTTGTAACACTTTAGCCACCTGAATCATTTTCACTTCAATTTAGTCACCAATAATACATGTTTATGTCATATTTGGTCACTCGCCGTCAAGTTTCGTTAAATCTTTCCTATGTGGCGGTCAACTGTTATGTTTGACCGTTAAAGTGGTGATGTGGAAATTAATAATAAAATAAAAAATTTAATTTTTCCAGCTCACTATCACACTAGGCTGCAATCTCTCCCTATCCACCGTCACCAACTCACCATCACCGATGGAAATGCTCAACATCCGTTCAGTCGACCTCATTCTCAATTTCCCCAAAGCTCTCTCACGAACTGATAAAGACCCAACTTTTTATCTGGGTTTTGTGAATTCTTCTTCCACTGTTACACAGTTGGGAGACGAGAAGTACTGTCGAGGGGTTATGGAATCTCCAAATCCGACGCCATGCATCGGCGGTCCCTTCTTCTTCTTCATCTCCAAATCCGACGTCATGCGACGGCGGTGACTGTGAGGGAATCTCCAGATCTGCCATGCGCCAGCGGTCCCTTCTTCTTCTTCATCTCCAGATCCGAATTCATGCGGCGGCGGTGACTGTGAGGGAATCTCCAAATCCGCCATGCGGCGGCGGTCCCTTCTTCTTCATCTTCGACCTGGGTCAGGGAATCTTCAGATCCGGCGCCATGTTGTCTCCTCGCTCGACAGCTCTCTCCTTCTCGATTCCAGATTTGCCAGTAGAGGAACGGCGAAAATTGTACAACCAGCTAGAGAGGGGCGCCGCTAGTCGAAGCCTACAGGAGTAGCAACACCAACTCGATCTACAATTGTAAATGTCGACTGGAATCATCCATTCAGTCGACCTCTCCCTTACCCTCGACAAGGGTCTCTCCTTGGGGAGCAGATCGGGTCCAGTGCAGCCAGAGCCACCGCCGCTACATCGCCGTGAACGAGCTCTTCGACAAGAAGCTGGACTTGAGGGAATTAGTCATGGCGGAGGAGATGATAGATTGATGAGATTGAGGGTAAGGATCTCATAGTGGTGGGAGGGCTTCTTCTGCTGGTGCTGGTCTAGGAAGTGCGGTGAAGCCCCCTATGTCGGTAGTTCCCAACCGCAGCCAATTCCCTCGCCACCGCAGCTCCGCCGTGGTTGCCATCGCCACCGCTTGCCTCCACCCTCCCCTGCTCGCTTGCTCTGTGCCCTCGCCCGCCAGCTCCTCACCGCCGATCCTCATCCCGTTCGCTAATCGCCCCCGCCGTCATTGCATCTCCCGTCGCTGCACCGCATAGTAGTGTCTGTCCCCACCAGACCATCTTCCCCATCATCGATCTGCACCACCAATTCCTCGTCGTCCTAGCCATTATCGCCGCTACCACCTTCGAATTCGCATCGTTGCCGTGACCCTCCCTCTAAGCTCGACCGTCTTCAATCCCTGCCATCCTCCACCATCGTCGATCCGTGCTGCTGCCACAATTGTCTCGGTTCGTCGTGGAAAAAGGAGAAGAAGAGAGAATGCTCTCGTTCGTTCCATCGTTGATGGTGAGTTGGTGACGGTGGATAGGGAGAGATTGCAGCCTAGTGTGATAGTGAGTTGGAAAAATTAAAATTTTTATTTTATTTTTAATTTCCACATCACCACTTTAACGGTCAAATATAACAGTTGACCGCCACATAGGAAAGATTTAACGGAACTTGACGGCGAGTGACCAAATATGACATAAACATGTATTATCAGTGACTAAATTGAAGTGAAAATGATTCGGGTGGCTAAAGTGTTACAAATGGGTAATATGAGTGACCAAACTTGCAATTCACCCATACTGTTGCCGCTAAATCTCTTTAGCGACAAATATTATGTGTCTCTAATTATTCATTCAAAGGCATTTATATTTGCCTCTAAAAATATAATTTAAAAGCAAATAATTATTTGAAATACCAATTCCCCAATAAATATATTAGCCGCAAAATATATCAATTAGAGGCAAATTCATTGCTTGTAAAAGGTAGTATTAGCGTCGCATTTTGGAATCAACTTGGTAGAATTGCAGGCTAATGTGATTGTCGTCTGCGATGCTATCTTGCCCACATAACTTTATTGTTGTCACAATTACAATTTACTTATTAAAAAAGTAAGTAAATATTGGTAAACAAATATGAAGAAAAATCCCTCTTTTATTATATACTCGAGTCAATCATAATCAATTGGATTCAACCAAAACAGAATTCTCAACCGATAAAACATACAAACTACAAAGAAATTATTGGCTGCAACGTGATTCTATAGGCCTCTCATCCTTAAATATTGAAAGTCATTCGGCATGAAGCATACTTCAAAATCTTGTCCGGTGATCGAGCCTGTAAACCTGGGTTCGTTGTTGCTGCGAAACCAAAACAACACCAATCAGTTAATTAATTCAACATAACAATTTGAATTACAAATAGTCATCAACTTGACCATAAAGTTTAGCAGGGTACGTACTTAGTAATCTCCTCAACGATTCCACAATGA